GCGGAGCTGGGGAGGGATAGCATTGGGAGAAATGCCAAATGTGGGTGAAGGGGGGGAAGGCAGCAAAACACACTGCCATGTGTGTACCTATGCAACTATCTTGCATGTTCTGCACATGTACCCCAAAACCTAAAATGCAATAAAATAAATAAATAAAATTTTTAAAAAGAGTATTACCATATTTGTATTATTAATTTCTCTCAAATGGGTTAAAGCTAACTATTGTTAATACCATGTTTTAATGGAATGAACTGTATGCATTCTTTTGCTTTAGATGAGGCTAGATACTGTTACTCTTTGCAGAAAAATTATTCACAAAATAGGGCTATTCTAAGTGATATTTAAGCCATGTATGAAAGTAGGTAACATATGTTTAAGTCATCATTTACAGCTTAACTTTGGGGAAGTCAGAAATTTATTTTGGTGTAAAGAACAACTCCATTTACCATATGGTCCTGGTACCTCTGTCTATGACAATTTCTTTTTAGAAGTAAGTATGAGTAATAATTAGAAGGAGACCTATTGAACAGAAAGTACTGAAAATGACAATAAGGATTACATGTTGATTTCCTATGTGTGCCAGGCCTTTACATATTTTACCTCTCATAGTTACAAAGATTCTGCCAGTTGGCTTCTTCACTTGTGTGGCCACATCTAATACGCGATTCCATTCATCTAGTTAGCTTTAATCAATGTTTTCGGGGAAAACTAGATTTCGTGTACAAAATGCTGTGCTGAAAAACTGGGCCCATGTATCATGCTTGGCATGGCACTTGATATATACCAGATAACTGCAAATTTGGTTAAATGCATTTGTTGTTTAGTAGAAGGATATTTTTGTCACTGATATTTATATAATGTTCATATGAGTTTTTTGTCCATTGTATACCTGCTAAATAAGAATGAAAGTGTACATTTACTACTGATTTAAAATCCCAAATCTTTGATTATCTTAGTTGATAATGAGAATGTTTTCTCATCGTTTTCCTTTATATACACTAAAATAAGAAGCATTGCCACATTCACCCTCAAACTAAACTTTTATGCATTTCTTAATGGATATCAAGCACTTTTTAAATTTTAAGAAGTGCATTAATGGCCCTAATTTGGCCAGGTTTACCATTTCAGTGATAAATGAATTGCTTCAACACTTATTCCTGGTAAACATATTTTAAATCAACTGACTCAAATCATCTTGAGAAGTAGGTGAGGTACAAAATATAAAATAGTAAAAGAATACTAATATGTTTCATTGGCTCAATACAAGAAAAACAATAGCTATCTTATTAATAATGGCTGTTGTTTCCTGTGTCTGTTTAAATAATTAGCACCAGTACCAGACACTTTCTTTGCTATACCAGACACAGAGTCCTATACCAGACACATCTGCTCTTTAATTCTTACAGTAATCTTACATTGCAGACGTTACCTCCAATGTGCAGAGACTCCAGGATTCCCCTTGTTGGCAGCCACACAGGAAGGTAGTCAGAAAACCTATTATGACCTGTGAGTTTAATAGATAAATATCTCATTAATATATTTATCTATTTGCTATATGTAAAACATTATCTATTTGTTAGTATTATCTACATATATTTTACTAGCTTCTATAATCAAGCCCCAAATTTCAGTGACTTAATACAATAAAAGTTTGTTTCTCACTCATTAACAGCCCAGTGATTTTGCTCTTATTTTAGCAAGCAGCTTTCCCCTGTGCTATTATTCAGGAACTCATCCATTCCATTTTGGGGACTGTGTCATTCTTCAGGGTCATAGAGAGGAAGAGAGAGGACCACCATTGTACTGACTAACACTTGATAGCCTCAGAATGATAACAGTGAGGTAGTGGTGGTGGTGGTGGGGAAAGCTGAGAAAAAATAGTCCCAGGTGTAGTGGTCTCACAGAATATAGGGATTATGAAGTCTGTGTGTGTATGCATGTATGTATATATGTATATGAGCATACATATACTCATGTGGTATAAGATTGTAAATTTGTAATACTGAGAACACTGCATTGAAAAAGGTACTTTATAAAGAAAGTTTAGTGTGTTCATGGTTACTCTGCTATTTTGAGCTACTTAAATTTTCTTCATTATAATTTTTCGTAGTCTTCAAATTTTTGGTGATTTGATGATAATGAAAATCAAAAACCATCGTTTTAGAAGCTACTGAAAGTCATGTCTCTATATCATACAGGCAGGACTAGAGTGAGCTAATTAGGGCACACAGTATAAGAAGTATTGTGTACATGCTGACTTTGCACCTCTAGAAGATAAGCTGTGTGGTGGTTGGGAGGTCATACTCACCAAGGGAGAGGGTATGCCGCTTCAACCCTGAAAACCCTGGCCTGTGTGCATTCAGTGTATGTAAAGAATATCTGATATAGACAGATACGGTGATAAAACTTTGTGCCCAATGCCTCTTTGGTCTCAATAAAAAAAAAAAAAAATGCCTTTGCATCCAAAAGTAGTCATATGCATTTGGGTTTCATCTTGGTCCATCAGGTATTCTCTTGGACACATGAGAATTCTCTTGACTCAGCACATTTTTTGTTGTTGTTCCAGCCTGGGTCTGTAAATTGGTTTTTATCTCAGCTTCTACAAGCTTATCAAAAGCATGAAAGCAGGGATATGTACTTATTTTAAAATGTCCTTTCTTTTTACTACTGTCAGATCTCTTCAGAGCCTGCTGCTTCAGAGAGAATGAGCCTAGCCCATGCTGAGCAGAATGAAAATAAGCACCTAAAATATTGAAAAGGGTCTACATAGCATTTTTGTCTCTCTCTGCCAGTTTCCTCACACCTTTTCACTGATTAGAGTGCAAGGAAAAAAATAAAATAGTCAGTTAAGATGGGACGGACTCTGCTCATCACAAGTATCCATAAATAAGACAGACTTATCTGAAGGGCACATAGTATGATGTAGTATGCATTGTACTCAACCATGAAAGATATTCATGGAAATCTATGTGGATATCAGTTAGTCTACCCAATTCTCTCCCAATGTCTCTTGCAAAGTTATTCTTGTGTAACCAGCAAATTAACAAACTTTGCAAAAAACCCCATAAAGATCAGAAAATACAAGAAGCATATGGTAAATAATTTTGTTTGGATTTGCTTAATAATAATATGTACCTCTGGCCAATGTGTTGTAGGCAGAAAGTGAATTATTAAAATTTTGTGGCACAGATTTCAAAGATCATTTTCAAGACCATCATCAGGTTTACCACATCTGGTCAAAATAGCAATTTATATCAGTGAGTTTATTTGGTTGGAAAATAGAATGGTAATATGTATGCAACCTTTGTAATTCAAGGTGAGGTTTAAAAATAACTTAATGCTGTTTTGTCAGAGAGTCATAAATGCAATTTCTCTTACATGTCTTCCCTTTGTAGAGAATATACGTATTCCAAGTTAATTTTTTCCTGATCACTTTGAACAAGCCAATCTCTCTGCACTCTGTAGGAACAAAGACTTTGTGATTATTACAGTTTCTTTGTTCAGTGTGATTTTTTTAAAAGGAGAGGGAATAGTTCCAGTTTTTCTTATATTTTTAAAAAACATAGGAAAGCTTACTATATAACTATGTAGAAATCCAAACTTATAAAGCAAGTGATGGTTTCTTTGCAAAATGATTCTGTGTTTACCATACATGAAGCTATAATTAACAAATGTCACTAATATACTTTTTATTTTTTATTTATATATTATTATGCTTTAAGTTCTAGGGTACATGTGCAGAACGTGCAATTTTGTTACATAGGCATACATATGCCATGGTGATATGCTGCACCCATCAACCCATCATCTTCACTGGGTATTTCTCCTAATGATATCCCTCCCCTACCCCCCACCAGCTGACAGGCCCTGGTGTGTGATATTCCGCTCTCTGTGTCCATGCATCCTCATTGTTCAACTCCCACTTATGAGTGAAAATACGCAGTGTTTAGTTTTCTGTTCTTGTGTTAGTTTGCTGAGAATGACGGTTTCCAGATTCATCCATGTCCTTGCAAAGGACATGAACTCATCCTTTTTTATGGCTGCATAGTATTCCATGGTGTAGATGTGCCATGTGTTCAGTTTCCATGTAGTTGTGTGGTTTTGAGTGAGGTTTTTAATCCTCAGTTCTAATTTGATTTCACTGTGGTCTGAGAGACTGTTAAGATTTCCATTCTTCCGCATTTGCTGAGGAGTGTTTTAACTTCCAATTATGTGATCAATTTTAGAATAAATGTGATGTGGTGCTGAGAAGGATGTATATTCTGTTGATTTGGAGTGGAGACTTCTGTAGAGTCTGTTAGGTCCACTCAGTGCAGAGCTGAGTTCAAGTCCTGGATATCCTTGTGATTTTTCTGTCTTGTTGATCTGTCTAACGTTGACAGAGGGGTGTTAAAGTCTCCCAATACTATTTTGTGCGAGTCTACATCTCTTTGTAGGTCTCTAAGGACTTGCTTTATGAATCTGAGTGCTCCTGTATTGGATGCATATACATTTAGGATAGTTAGATCTTCTCATTGCATTGATCCCTTTACCATTATGTAATGCCTTCTTTGTCTCTTTTGATGGTTGTTGGTTTAAAGTCTGTTTTATGAGAGACTAGGATTGCAATCCCTGCTTTTTTTTTTTTTTTTTTTGCTTCCCATTTGCATGGTAAATATTCCTCCATCCCTTTATTTTGAGCCTATGTTTGTCTTTACACGTGAGATGGGTTTCCTGAATACACCATGTTGATGGGTCTTGACTCTTTATCCAATTTGCCAGTCTGCATCTTTTAATTGAGGCATTCAGCCCATTTACCTTTAAGGTTAATATTGTTATGTGTGAATCTGATCCTGTGATTATGATGCTACGTGGTTATTTTGCCCATTATTGATGCAGTTTCTTCATAGTGTTGATGGTCTTTACACTTTGGCATATTTTTGCAGTGGCTGGTACCAGTTATTCCTTTCCATATTTAGTGCTTTTTTCAGGAGGTCCTGTAAGGCAGGCCTGGTGGTGACAAAAATATGGAACGCTTCACAAATGTGTGTGTCATTCTTGCTCAGGGTCCATGTTAATCTTTTCTGTATCGTTCCAACTTTAGTATATGTGCTGCTGAGGTGAGCATGCCTAATATACTTTTTAAAAGTGAATAGTTCAGCAGTATTATTATATTCACATACTTGTGCTACCAATCTTGAGAACTCTTTTTCTTTTGCAAAACTGAAACTCTATGTTCATTAAACAACAACTTTCAATTTCCCTCAGTCCCCAACTCCTGGAAACCACTATGCTACTTTATGTCTCTATGAACTTCATTACTCTAGGTACATCATATCCATGGAATCATATAGTGTTTGGCATTCTGTGATTGGCTTACTTCACTTAGCATCATGTCATCAAGGTTCATCTATGTTGTATCATGTGTCAGAATATCCTATCTTTTTAAGGCTGAATAACACTCCGTCTGTATGTATCAACCCCATTTTGTTTATCCTGTCATCCACCGACAGGCGTTTGAGTTGCTTCCACCCCGTGACTGTTGTGATTAATACTGCTATGAACACGGGTATGCCACTACCTCTTTGAGATTCTACTTTCAATTCTTTTGGAGATATATACCCAGAACTTGGCTTGCTGGATCTTATAGTAATTCTATTTTTATGTTTTTGAGGAACAACCATACTGTTTCTAAAGCAGCTGCACCATTTTACACTCCTACCATTAGTTATAAGGGTTCCAGTTTGTCCACATCTTCATCAACACTTAATGTTCTTTTTTTCTTTTTGTTTGTTTATAATGGTTATATATATGAAATGATAGATATCTCATTGTAGTTTTGATTCACATTTTTGTAATGATTAGTGATTTTAAGAATCTTTACATGTGCTTGTTGGTCATTTATACGTTATCTTTTGAAGAAATGTATTAAAGTCCTTGGCCAATTTTTTAACCAGGTTGCTTGTTCTTTTGTTATGAGTTGTAGGCTTTTTTAAAAATATATCCTGGATGTTAACACCTTGTTAGAGACATAATTTACAAGTATTTTCTCCTATTCCTTAGGTTGCCCTTTAACTCTGCTGACTGACTGTTTCATTTGATATACGTGTCTTTAAATCTGATGTAATCCCATTGTGTATTTTTGCTTTAGTTGCCTGTGCTATTAGTTATATCCAAGAAATTGTTGCAAAATCCAATGTCTTGAAACTTTTTTGTGTGCTTCCTTCTAGGAGTTTTATAACTTTAGGTTTTTTTTTTTTTTTTTTTTTTTTTTTTTTTTTTTTTTTTTTTTGAGATGGAGTTTCGCTCTTGTTACCCAGGCTAGAGTGCAATGGCACGATCTTGGCTCACTGCAACCTCCGCCTCCTGGGTTTAGGCAATTCTCCTCCCTCAGCCTCCTGAGTAGCTGGGATTACAGGCATGCGCCACCATGCCCAGCTAATTTTTTGTATTTTTAGTAGAGACGGGGTTTCACCATGTTGACCAGGATGGTCTCGATCTCTTAACCTCGTGATCCACCCACCTTGGCCTCCCAAAGTTCTGGGATTACAGGCATGAGCCACCGTGCCCAGCCCATAACTTTAGGTTTTACATTTAAGCCTTTAAGCCATTTGGGTTTAATTTTGTATATGGCATAAAATAAGAGCCCAACTTTGTTCTTTTGCCTAGAGTTATACAGTTATCTCAATACCATTTGATGAAGAGACCATCTCATCTGTATCAGGTAGTCTTGGCACCCTTGCTTAATAGCATTTATTTGTTTGTACATTTGAGAGTTTATTTCTGGGCTTTCAATTCAATTCCATTGGCCATATATTTGTGTTTATGCCCCTACCACACTGTATTAATTACTATAGCTGAGTAATAAGTTTTGAAGTTGGGAGGTGGGAGACTTCCAACTTTGTTCTTTTTCAAGATTATTTTGTTTATTTGCGGTACATTGAAGTTTCCTACAAATTTTAGGTTACATTTTCCTATTTTAAAAATAAATACCATAGTACCATTGAAATTTTGATAAGGATTGCATTAAAACTAGTTTACTGTGGATAGTATTGACATCTTAACAATATTAAGCCTTCCAAACCTTGAAAATGGTATTTATTTTCGTTTATTTGTGTCTTTAATTTCTTTCAGAATCATATTATAGTTTGCAGAGTACAAGTCTTTTGTTACCTTGGCTAAGTTTATTCCTAAATATTTTATTCCTTTTGATACTACTGTAATTGTTTTCTTAATTTCCTTTTTTGTATTTCTCATTCATTGATAGTGTATAGAAATGCAACTGATATTTGAATGTTGATTTTGTGTTCTGTAACTTTGCCAAATTCGTTTGATAATTATAACAGTTTTTGTGGAATGTTTAGTATTTTCTACATAGTGGATTATGTTATCTGCAAGCAGAGATTATTTCACTTTTTTCTTTCCAATTAGGATGCCTTTTCATTCCTTTTCTTGTCTATTTGCCCTGGCTAGACCTTCTAGGACTGTGCTAAATAGAGGTGGTGAAAGTGAATATCTTTGTTTTGTTCTGATCTCAGAAGAAAAGCTTTCAGTCTTCCACTATTGAGTATGATATTAGCTGTGGACACTTTGTATATGGCCTTTATTACGTTGAGGTAATTTTGTTTTTAGTTTGTTGAGTGTTTTCATCACAAAAAGGTGATAAATTTTGTCAAATGCTTTTTCTGTATCAGTTGAAATGGTCGTATTATTTTTTCTTAATTTTGTTAATGTGGTATGTTACATTTATTAATTATCATACATTGAACCATATTTGCATTCCAGGAATAAATTCTACTTGTTATGGTGTATATTCCTTCTCATGTGCTATTGAGTTTGGTTTGCTAGTATTTTGTTGAGATTTTTGCATCGATATTCAATACTGGTCTCTAGTTTTCTTTCTCCATAGTGTCTCTGACTTTGGAATTAGTGTAATGCCGGTCACATTTAATGAGTTTGGAAGTGTTCCTCAATTTTTGGATGAGATTGGAGAGGACTGGTGCTAATTCTTTTATAACTGTTTGGCAGAATTCACTGCTGAAGTCATCTTGCTTGGGTTTCAACTATAAGTTGAGGAATAATAGGTGAGGAATAATAATAATAACAGTAAAGTGAAGAATAACATTAGGCCATGCTGCCTTTTCACATATAGACATTGAAGAGGACTTTCACATGTCATATGTAATTGTGTGTCTTGGGGCAAAGTTCACATGTCATGTGTAATTTTGTATCTTGGGACATGTTACAGAGGTAGTACTAATTCTATTTCACAGAAGCAAAACATGACACTTGGAGATATTAAGCTTCTCTCTAAAACCATCAGGTGTTAATTGATGGAGGTAGTCCTCAAGCATGCCTCCAACTTTCCAATTAACTATTCTTTTCATTGCACCCTCTCCCCCTCACCAGCTGGTATGTTGACATTTTGCCTCCTCTGAATGCATATGAGAGGTCAACTCGAGTTTCACTAGTCACATTTAGTCCAGAACAGCCAGCTCTCAGAGACATTATAATTAGATGCATTCCTTGGAGATTGCTTTTATAATATTGACCTAGTGATATAAAATTAACTGCCCATCAAAAAGGATTTTGAGGTATGTAATTGACTATACCATGAAGTTACAAGCAGATTTAAAACAGTTCATTTTGAATGTAGATAGGGAAAAAGACAAATGTGTTAAGGACTCTGATATTATATCCGACTTAATGTAATTTCCTTTTAATTATGAGTTTCCCTGAAAATAGATGATTTTCCAAGAATCATGAACTGCTTCTAAGAGAGAGCAAAAAGGAAATCACAGTACACATTGACACCTATTCTTCTGAAAATATGTTTCTTCTAGACTGATAATAATAATAAATAAATTGACTTGCTAACTCTTGTATATATACAATGTTTTGTTTCTGAACATAATGATTCTGAAGCATTAGAAAAGCTACATTATGACATTTTCTTAAATTAAAAAGTAACAAAAAATTCTCTAGTTCATAAAATTAGGCCCCACATTGTATGAAGGCACAGAAAGAATGAGAAACATAGGAAAGGGAGAAAACCCATTTAGGATTTTGAAATGAGGCAAGTTCTGAGGGAAACTGAGCAAACCATCCTGATTGAATGTCATGGCAAAATTGAGTTCATCTTCAAGATAACAGGGAGGAATGAAAGGGCTGCTGATGATCTTTAGAAGGCCTGCCTCTCGAAAGCTACAGACCAGTCTTTATTTATTTTTTTGTTTTTCTTTTTTTCTTTTTTTTTATATTTTATTGCACTTTTAGTTCTGGGGTACATGTGAAGAACATGCAGGATTGTTGCATAGGCACATACATGGCAATGTGGTTTGCTGCCCCCCATCCCCATCACCTATATCTGGCATTTCTCCCCATGTTATCCCTCCCCAACTCCCTACCCCCGCTGTCCCTCCCTTGTCCCCCCCAACAGACCCCAGTGTGTGATGCTCCCCTCCCTGTGTCCTTAGATCTTCCCCCATCTCTGATAAGGAGGAGCAAATGTGCCATAAATACATTATAAGGTGCTTAGAGCTGGTCTCTTCCCCAATCCATCCCTGCTTTAAGGCCTTGGCACTGACTGGTCTCCTGGGCTTGGAACTTTCTTCATATCTGCATGGCTGGACTTATCTACACATTCACCTCTGCTCAAATATCCACCTCCTCAGAGGTCACTTCTTCAACTACCTTTTGGTTTTCTTATATTTGTTTACTTGTTTATAGTTTTTTTCTTCTACCACACTGATGTCTGGTGAAACAGGGGCCCTGGTTGTCTTAGATCAAGATCCATTCAACCCTTAGCACATTTCCTAGTCCGTAATGGAGACACAGCAAATTTTATTTGACTCTACATCTTAAAAAGTCAGCAAATAGTGAAGTGCCACTTAGCACCTTTAACATGGCTAGAGACCCTGTTGGGTCTAATAGTGGCTGATGGTATTGAAAAAGGATTTTTCTATTAATAATAAAAATGTATTAATACAATCTAGGTAGGAGCCACAGGAGAGAGGCAGATGATGCTATTTTATTTTCTAAGAATCCACCAAATCAAGCAGCACAATTCAGTTTGATTTTTAGGTGAAATCAAACCCTTATTCAAATGTTCTTTTTTCTTTAATCAAA